TACAGCTTGTCCAAGGTCATTCATTATTAATACTATTAGTAATATCTTCGTTAAAGACTTTGATGGCGACAGCTCAAACATGAGATGTTGAGCTTTATTAGCTCCACCTTGTGGAAATTCCGGATACTATTATTTTGCTTGCGGTATTATAGGAGAATTTACGGTAACTAGCGGTATTTACCGGTAACTCGGGGTAGACTGCGTAAAAGGCACCGCAAATAATGCGGTATCGCCCGCGCATTTTGAATGTCTGCATCTGTATATATATTTAAAATTTGCTCTACAGTGCACACAGCAGGGCAGAATAAACTCAATAGATTTTAGCTAGACTTACAGCTTTCTGAAATAGTACTGTATTTCAGCCTACTATATACTACTGTAGCTTAAGGTTTTTGTATTCAAAAGAATTTGGAGAAAATATTATTTAATTCAAAGTCTGATCCAAAGCAATAGACATCATAGATCGTTCAACAGAAAGTTCAAGATTTGAAACTGATTGATACAAAAGTTGTGCATGCAATAATTTGTAACAGAAGTTTAGAATGGAAGTTGTTCATACTAAGTGCTAAGCTGGTCTTCATTTGAAAATATATTGCGTTTTCTTTTTTTTCAGTTTCCAGGAAAACAGAACCTTTGGATTGTAAGGCTGTTGTTTAAAATGTCTAAGTGCCAGATCTAGCTTGCTGAAGCTAAAACAATTCTGAAACTGATTATGGATCAAAGCTTATGTGGACTCTTTCTTGACTTTCAGCTACCTACTTGAACTACTTCAGCCATTTTATATTATACTTTTAGAAAATGTACAGCAGATTCATATATTGTGTCCAAGAAGCCTTTGAATTCTGCATGGATAAAAATACACAAGGTGATTTATGTGTATATATGTCTGTATATACAGCATAAACGCAGTGGTCAAAATATTATCTACCATCACAAAAACCACCATTAGTATCAATAACTTTTGAACATGATGTTGAATGAATACCACACAGTTTTGAAATATCGCAATCACATCTCATTTTTATAGCAGGATCACCTTTTTTAGGAGGTTGTGATGAGGTTGTAATAGTGTTTGGGGATTATTTTGGCCAGGTAAAATGACAGAAATCTGCTTCATACTCCTTATGTCAGCCATGCTTAGCTTGTCACTCAAACCGTTTCTTAAGTTTCTTAATTAATTCCAAAGTTGACTTTATATAATGTTAAAATTCAATGTAAGTCTTACAATGAGACAATCTTTATATATTTCTTTCATATATCATTCAAACTTTAAAGTACACCAGATGTAAAAAGGCAAAATAGTTAATAATTCTTTCTCTTTTCTGTCAGAAGAAAACTGGGATGATGATCAGCTACTTGGATTTGAACCTTGCAATGAGAATCTGATAATGGGCTGCAACATAATTAATGGGAAATGCGAGTGTGACAGCATTCGGACCTGTACTAATCCGTTTGAATTTCCAAGTCAGGAGATATGCCAGTCTGCACTAAAGAGAATTGAAGGTAAGTGCCTCTTTCATGTAACATCTTTGTTAAAGTTGCTGGTTTGGTTAGCTCTTTGTTCTGGGTACAACAGTAGGTGATCGCCCAGAAATGAAAAGAAACTTGTTTTTTTCCCCTGCTTACCTCTGTTTAAAATCCTCACTGTGTAATTGCAGCCTGTTCATAAGGTAAATCAAGGGGTTATAAACAGAGTATCAAATTAGCTCAATTATGTGGTTTCCACATTCCAGGAGAAACTGTTCAGAATAATTGTTTTCATGTTAGCAAAACATCTTATTTGAATTTCTTTTCTAACCTTTTCACATGAATATTGATTAAAGCAAACATGAGTTTCTTAAAATGAGAAGGAACATGGTTGTGTGTTTGTATTTTGTATACAGGATGTGGGAGCAACAGAACAATACTTGTAAAACTATCATTTCTTAACAACATAACAAAGAAAACATTTTCGTTCTTAATGGCAAATTGACAAATGGGGTGCAAGCTTGGCCACTTGGAATGCACACAGTGGTAGATTAATTTCTGGTCTCTGAATATGCTCTTTCATGCATGTAGATCAACTAGGAATTTATTGCTGGCACTGTAACAGTGTAAAGGCCTGAAAACAACCTTTTGTGAAGCACTGCTCTTGTGTTTGCTTCAGCAGGTGTCTTGTACAATCTGATTTTAATGCTTTGTTTTGTTTTTCTTCTCATTACCTCAGACAAGTAGAGCTAGTGTGCTGGAATTGTCTTGTTTTGTCTGTCAGGGAGCAAACATTATGGAATCTGGCATGCTTTTCTGTGTAGCCCTCCTATTGGCAGTGAGCCTGGTTTGAGAATACTATTTGATGAATGTTCATTTTATTCAAACAAAACCTTGTACCATATATAACATACTCACTGTAAAAGGTAATAAAATCTACTTATTTCTCAACTGCAAAAAAAGGTATCCCTAAGGGAGCAGGCTCTTAATGATATGTAGATCTTGAAAGAACAAAGTCATTTATTGTGGTAATATGTAAAAAAGGGTCAGTTTCTTTTTTGAATGAAAAAAAGGTTTGGTGTTTGTATGTGTTTTTTAACATTTAAAAAAAGAATTTTCTTGAATGTTTTTTAATGTTCCATTACACATGTATCGATGTCGGCCTCCCAGTGTTTGTTGCTGATCTCAGACAATCTGTAAACAAAGGTGTTATTTGTGTTTGTACCAGTGTGGTTATCACAGGTATAATCAGGTTTATTCTTAGCAGCAACACTGTTTTGGACTCCTGAGGACACATATAGCCAGGGGAAGCAGACATGAAGGGCCTGGCTTGCTGCAATCAGCTGTTTGTTACCTAATTGGAGATTGTTTTGGGGGCAGCTTTCAGAGGAATGTAACTGGGAAGCAGGGGGTAGGAACTGGTGGCTTGACAGGCTGTGTGATTTAATTGCTGCTGACTAAATAGATTTATCTAGCATACTTGCTCTGTTGAGTGCTGGAAGAGAGCATGTGCACAGCACTGCATGGGATGCTTGTGAGTTTGTTAGGAAATTGCTGCTTAGTGGCTAACTGGCTATGGATTTTAAATGTTGGAATCCTGAAATATATATGTATTTTCATTTTATGTCCTTTAAAGCAAGTAGAGCAGTCTATGTCATTGTACCTAAGCACAGGGTGCATTTTTAGCAAGTATTGCATAAAGATCTAATGATTACTGTGCATGCATTGATATTGAGAGTAGAAATGGATGAAGTTGCAAATGTATAACACATGAATATGAAGGTTTTGCTGTATAAATTGTGCACTTAGATTTATTTATCAGTTCCATGGAGAACACTATAGGAACTCTATAACAGAGTAAAGGCTATTTTTAATATAAAACTTGCTAGATCAAGCAAGGTCAACTTACTGTATTTGTTAATTTGAGAATGCTGTCAGCTGTTTTTACTGTTTTTGCTAATACACTGACAGATTTAAAGAGAGATACAACAGTGGAGTAATTTCAGCTGTCTGCTTATTAAAAAAGTTCATTGGACATTTTTTAGATAAACAGAATGTCCATTTAAACAAAATTAATAAGAGAAACTAAATTTCAAAATGTATATACTCCCCATGTTATTGAATGTTTATGACTGATTTGAGTTTTGTTCCTTTTGACTTTAGATTTAAACAATCTACATTTTATGTCAGAGATTAACAGAATGGTGGTTGTAAATAAGATACTCCAGGTAATTCTATTGGTCTGAAAAACAAGCAGGAACTCATTACTTAGTTCTTCCATCTGGTTTTGTTGCTACGTTGTTTTAAATTGACATGTTCTTTAAATGTTCTCTTGGCACTTTAACATGGAAGTGTTTGCATTTTTAAGATGAAGAATTGCATTGATATGTGAAGCTGCCTAGATGTATAGTACCATACAGATTTCATTTTGAATATCCTTTTACTGTAAGTGCAAATATACTGATGTAGCTTTGTGGACATATTATGCAGGGTATTTTTTTTAATCAGACTTAGCCTTCCAGTCTGCCCAAGACTAATTTAATCTCTGACAACCCCGCGAAAAAAAAAGTGTTCATGGATTCCACTGTAGAGCATGTTCGTGACATTAGAAATAGAATGTGGTTAGTAAATAAAATGTAGTTACAAGTCATTAAAGGTCAGTATGACAAGGGTTTGAAAATTTTCCAAGTTTTCTCACATAATATAAATTACAGTTTTAAGCAAAAAAATATGAACTTATAAAGTAAACATATCCACTGTTATTCACTTTTAGTACACTTTTATTTTACTCATGTTCTAAATCATTTTCATTTGCCAGTTAAATAGTTTTTAAGATACAAAGTCATGTACCTTGCATTTGAAGTTTTTTTTTTCATGTTGATAATTGTTTAAGATTGATATATCATTTTCTAAGACTAGAGGTTTGTCAGTTTAGAAACCTCAGAGTGTGTTGCCAGCTCCAGTGATCCTTATGCATACGGTCTGTGCAAAGATTGTTTTTCAATACTTTCATTCATGGATGAGATTTTATTCAATTGTACATAAGACGATATGTGGGTTAAGAAGCAATGATGACTTGAGAAAGTCTGTGGATCCTGTAGGATTTGGAAGTCTTCTTTTGAATAAACTTTGCCTCAGCCAGATACATTTTAGTATTGGTGAATTTCTGAATCCCAGCAGGCTCTCTGTCTTGATCATTTTCTGTTGCAGGCCACAAACTGTACAATGCATTCTACTAATCTGACATATTCTGAAAGGCTCTATTCAAGTTGTTTTAGTACAGTGATTGACCATTAGACTGGAAGGACATTTTAGAAAAACTATTTCTTTCCTTCTTGTAAATGCTTGGACAATTTAAGGCTGGATGGTTACATGTTTTCTTATGTGGAAGATCATGTGAGAAGGGTGAAGACTGCGAGTATGCGCAGGAAAGGTTTTCTGTTTGCCACTGTCTTTCTGAAACTTAAGCCTGTGATTCTTCACACCCTTGTATTCAACCAGAGAGAAATGAAACAGATTGCAGGATGCCAAATGGCATCTTTCTGCCCTGTTTGTTTATGTTTGTAAGACTTCTGACACTGCCCCTTTCCCTTGTGTTCCTTTGATATGTTAAAGTTTTGCCTACTTTTAAGGTATAAAAATTAAAGTGTAACTTCAGTCAAGGGAGCATATCTTACTGAGTGCTAGAGGAAACACTTTCTCTGTGATATGCTCCCCTTCTGCTGATTGAATTAAAGATCTCTGTTTGACAATCTTCTAACCTGAGTGAAGACTGAGTTTTCTTCGACAATTAATGGTGCCGTGACCTGAATGGCAACGCCAAACCAGTAAGTCTGATCGGACTGGGAAACTACCTTCTTGACACCAAGCGTGCCAAAAGAAAAAGGTAAGGGACCTTTTAAAATCCCTATCTGGAGTCTGGATGGGACTTTCCAAGGCTGAGTTCTTGCATGATGGGCTTATGCCATTCGAACTTTATCTGAGATTGTCTACAGATTTCTCTGGTATAGTGTACACAAATTTGGTCTGGTTATTTAGCGCACTGGTTTGTGAAGTGCTGGAAAGTTCACCTGGTTTTGTGAAGGTTTAAATAGATTCCCTCACCTGGTAATTTAGCGCTCTGGTTTGTAAACCCGGTTAGGGTTTACCTGGTTATAAAGATATTGCAAATTGTTAAATTGACAATTACTGCAGTATGGGAAATTTGGAATATGTGATTTAAATTGTGCACAAGGGAAAGGTTAAGTAAGTAGATAGAAGAAACGCAGAGTTATGTCGATTGAAAGAGTAGATGAGGAAGGAATATTGTGGAAAATAAGAAAAAGGAACGTGTGATGTGAATGAAAGTGGGAAGTAGATTCTGTGTGATATTTTCTTGTTCGCGAACACACACACACACACACACACACCACCCAAACATAAAACACACCTCATAATAAAAGAGCAAATCACTTGGTAACAGCGTTTAAAGGACCTTGGGAGCCGAGAATAGCTCTGACTGGAGCCCAGTGCATAAGGCCACCCTGGGGCAAAAACAGTAATGCTGGCGTTCTGGGGAATTACTGATCCAGTAGAAGGGTTGCTCGTGTTCTCATTCCTTACCTGTGAACAGTGAATTGTAAGTCCTCTATAAAGACTCTGAGAGGCATTTAGATCAGAGACACCTTTTAACAGACACCTGTAGTTGCATGAGTGCTGTAATGCACAGGTTTTCCAAGTGAAAAGCACTCACCTATGAGCTGTTACCTCACACAACATGGTAAGATCATTCTGAATTAAAAATGGGGGGGGGGGACAATCAACTCATCCTCCCCCCGAAAGGGACCTCAGCTTACTAGATACTGTATATAAGAGTGAAAGCCCATATACCAACCCAGCTTGAACGGTACTTTCACACACGCCACATGCTGCAGACACCTGGTGATTTAAAAAATGTTAAAGAATTTCTTGATAGGAAGAACCTGAAAAGTTCAAAGAGGATTTTCTACGGTCACAGAATGTTATAATCCAAACTGGTCTGATCTTAATAAACTATT